GGAGCAGGCAGCTCAGAAGTAGGTTGGGTGACAAGGACAGTCTGAGACTGAAGAGTTGTTGCAGATTTTCACGGCACCAAATGGACAATCTCCAAATGGTCCTCAGAGGACAGAGGACACTGAGCTACAAGTGAGGGGATGTGAAACAGCCACTGGTCCAGTGGCTCCTCACTTCACGGCTGAGTTCTGTTCCTACGTTCCCAGGACTAGGTCGTAAGAGGATTGGTTGATAAGCAGGAAGCTAAAGGTGGCTGTCCCCTGGTGTGCCCTGGCACTATGGGGCATGTATCTTTCAATTGGTATCACGAATCCCACACTAGAAGAATGTAACTGTGTCCGTTCAAAAAGCAAATGTTAGATAAGCACCAGAGAGCAACGAGACAGCCCATAACACGGTAATATAAATCCAGAGAAATCATTTTGATTTATTCCAATTATTATTGTGAGTGCACAATGAAGCACAAATTTATAAACGAACCACATAGTCTTGCGTGACTGCAATTACTGGCCTACTGCAGGAAGGGGACAAAGACTGGGCAAGGAGAGTCCCTGCTTGGAGAACTGGTCTCCAGTCACCGCGGTCGTTAAACAGGCAGGTCATTAAGTGAAGAGCAGCTGCCTGTGGCCCGCCACACTGGGTGGCCGACCTGGGATGCAATTCCCAGAGTCCTCTTTGGCATCCTTGCTCCCTCTTCTGCCTGGTGGTTTCTCCCTTTCCCTTTGGCTCCTATATCTCTTGCTGACTTGCTACCCCGAAGCCATAGTTGCATTTCTAGGGGGATGTAGTTACTATCTGTCTCTGGCCACCTGGGGTTAGAGAAAGGTTTGGTGCCCACAGAGTCTAAACCAGGTCCCTTCAGTCGTAAGAATCCTGCTGATCATTCATATGGGCCAACCAGCTCCTGGTTAGTTTACATCTAACTATATATTTCACTCTTTTTTTTTTTTTTTTTTTTTTTTAGGTTTTTGCTATAGGGCATGTGCACTCGCTGTAAAGAGACAGAGAGAGAAAAATGAGAAAGCACACCCCCTCCCCAGAGGGGAGGGCCACACTGCAATCCTTTCTCCTCCACAATCCAGTCGGGAGTTTGGACACACACGCACACGTAACCCGCCAGGGTGGGACTTGAACCACATGTGGGAGTCAGCCATGTGGGAGTCCAGCACCTTACCCACCATGCCACCTGCTGGCCCCAGCTAACTACTTTACTCTTACCAGATCTCTGTGACCAGAGTACAAATTCCAAATGCCAGAGTATCTGCGAGAACTTTCTTCTCTAAGTATGCTGTAAGTGTAATTTAAGTTTCCATAGTTGGGGCTGGCAGAGGCATGGCGATTATTGGGGCTGGACTTCCACATGGTCAACCACAGCTCAAGTCCCAGAGCTGGTGGCTTGCTTTCTCACTTTCTGTCTTTTCTCTGTGTCTCCCTCTGATCAAATTTTTTGAAATAACAATAATGATAATAAATGAAATACTTCTAAAATAAAGAAAAAAGGTTCAATGGTCATTCAATGACCAAATAAAAGAGAAAACTTTCAAGTACTTTTCCTTGGCATCTAATTAACATTTTAAAGAAAATGGAGCAACAGGGAGAACTCAGTTTATCCTGGTTCCTGGGGGAGACTGGTAGACTGCAGTAACAACCCAAAGGCACAGGAAGGGGATAGGATATTAAATTACAAAACGCCAACATTTGCATAGTAATTCCCACTAATTAAGAAAGAAAGATATGAGCTGTTTGTTATAAACACCCCCAGGTCTTAGGCAAACACGGAGAGCAAACCACTGAGCGACCCAAGCTTGGTCTAATCAGAGCCCTTTCCGAGCCCGGGCAGCCACAGAGCGCGCGTTTGGTCACACGTGCTAATAATCCCAGATATGGCGCCTACATTTTAATCATTTGTTCTGGGCTTGTTTCTCAAACAATTAGCACTAATGAGTGGCCAGAATACCTTGGATCATATATGTCTAATTGCAGTCAAGAGCCGTTCCTGTCTGCATGTACATTTCAATTTACCTCTGGGGATAATGTTTGTTAATTGTATTTCTTTATACCAAGGGAAGGAAAAGGCAGGCAGGCAAAAAGGGGCTAAGTGTTCTCCTTTTGTTCCCACAAGAAGCTAAAGTCACTTCAAGAGGCACTTAATCCCATCATCCGCGGTTACAATTGCCTTGCAGCATCAATCAAAAAGAATCTGAAGTAAAATGATGCAGCTATATTGTGTAATTAAAAGCAATTCAGGTAGTTATTGCTTGGGGCCCTTTACGGGTCCAAATACTTAAAATGGCCCTGCAGGGATCCTAAACACTGCAGTGTTTTAAATTTGGTTAGCAACAATTCCCTGTGGAAAAGGAAGAATATGCAAAGGAAAAAAAAAAAAAAAAGGAAAGAAAAGAGAAAAAAAGAACAAAAATAAAATACAATGCCCACTATCTTCTTCTAGTAAGAATTGTTAAGCAAAAGAAGAGAGAACCCAAATGGAAACTGGAAATGAAAGAACCCCACAACACCCAGCTAGCTGCAAAATGAAATAAGCGCAGGGGAGGAAGGAGAAAGACAGACGACGTTCTCCAAATCAGCCTCTACCCCAATCCTGAGTCCTGCACTTCGAAAACCACTTAGGATAATAACGGCTGGGTCTCTTCAACCCGCAACAGTGTTGTGGTTTCTGTAACGTAAAAAAAGAAGCTTTCTGGAGGCTCAAGCTTATTAAGAAAATCGAGAGTAAATTTATGGTGTGTCTAATTCGGTTGCTCCTTACAAAGCCAAGCTGTTGAGAAGTACTTCTGAAAAGTTTGACACAGGTTTCTAACTTAATCGAATCGTTTTTTAAAAGAAATTGAAGTGCTGAGGCCTTTAGGGTTTCCTGTTTTGTTTTGCTTTTTAAAAATGAAAAGTCATTATGGACAGAGGTTGGGAAGAGGCTTCATTCTCTGGTTTTGATGCTTGGCTAAAATATTTTTAAATAAAAACACAATTCCTCAACAGATGTAAGACTAGGGTTAAAAGAACTGTGTGTACTTAAGTTTTACCATCATTTCTCCTTTTATAGTAAAAACGGGAAAAAAGGGTCTCCTGTTGATTTATGAAAGAATTTCAGGGACAAATGTTACATGCGTGCTTGACTGGGGCGTTGGACAGCCAAGAACTCCAGAAAGACACCAGGTTACCCTAAGCATAAGGAGTATTCTGGAAGCAGTAAGTATGTCGTAAGGTACAAATTAGTGGCAAATGTAACCATGGCCTAAAAACCACTATCTGTGAACACACAGGGTCTGGTTTCAAGTGCGCATTGAAATTACAAAATGACTATCATTTAAACACAAAACAGCTTTCATTTTCCACGTTAATATTCCAGCAACCTAAGTCAGTAAAAATGCTGACAACTGAAAAATGCAAAAGTTCTTTCTTAAAAGTTTAACCTTACATAAACTACTAATACAAAGTGGTAGGATGGACCAACTGTGTTTCTGTCTGTTAAGAGAACCAAACTTTTTTAAAAACAAATCTCATTTTAAAAATGTGTCTACCTGGGACCAGCAAGTGGTGTGGTGGTTAAGGCACTGGACATTCCCACATGGCCGACCATGGTTCAAGTCCTGGACCTGGTGGCTTGCTTTCTTCTCTCTTTCTCTTTCTGTATCTCTCTCTGGTCAAATTAAAAAATGGATGAACAAATAAATAAATATTTTTTTAATAAATAAATAAATAAATAATAAAAATGTGTCTACCAGTAACCAGCAGGTGGCATGGTAGTTAAGGCACTGGACTCCCATATGGCTGAATACGGTTTGAGTCCTGGGTCTGGCAGCTTGCTTTCTCACTTTCCTTCTCTCTCTCTCTCTCTCTCTGGTCAAATTAAATATTAACAACAAATAAAATTAAATACAGAATTGAAAAAAAAAAAAGCTTCTCCAAGGTCAATCCCTAGGGGGGCTGGACACACCGAAATCCCTTCTTCTCCATTCTTCTCTCAGGATCTTGGGCACGCATGCACACGCGCCTGGTGTGAGTTTAAGCCACCGGGTCCGGGACTCAAACCGTGGTCGACAACATGGGAGTCCAGTGACATAGTCATTATGCTAACTGCTAGTCCCAAAATAAGTAATTATTTTTTAAAAAATAATCTGTTGGGGCCAGTAAGTGGGGTGGTGGTTAAAGCACTGGACACTCCTACGTGGCCAACCACTATTCCAGTCCCAGGCCTGGTAGCTTGCTTTCTCACTTTCCCTTTCTCTCTCTCTCTCTTTCTCTGGTCAAATTAAAATGAATGAATGAATGAATGAATAAATAAATTAATATAAGTAATTATTTTTTAAAAAATAATCTGTTGGGGCCAGTAAGTGGGGTGGTGGTTAAAGCACTGGACACTCCTACGTGGCCAACCACTATTCCAGTCCCAGGCCTGGTAGCTTGCTTTCTCACTTTCCCTTTCTCTCTCTCTCTCTTTCTCTGGTCAAATTAAAATGAATGAATGAATGAATGAATAAATAAATTAATTAATTAAATAATTCTCTCTTTTTTTAAGGACTTATAAAAAAGCTTTAAAAAGAATCTGTCTACCAGGGGTACTAGGTGGTGTGGCAGTTAGGCACTGGACTCCCATATGGTCATCCATGGTTCAGGTGTTGGAAAATCACACAGGGTACGTGTGTGCGCGCGCACGCCCAAAATCCCAAGAGAAAAATTGAGAAGGGATTGAGGTATGGCCATCCCTGCTGAGGGGTAATTTCTCACTTACCCTCCCTCTGTCTCTGTCTCTCTCCAGTGAGTGGATGCTCCCTATGGCAAAAACCTAAAAAAAAAAAAAAAAAAAAAAAGTGCCTGTCATGTTTTTTCAACTACATTGATCACATCCTTAGCGATAGGACACACCCCCCGGCGGTTCTGTGGCGCGTTAACTACTTCCTGGAGGTTCACACTTGTTCATTATTCAGCAGTCAGTCTTTCAGCGCCCACGGAAAATCTGTAGCCTTCCATGGGTAGGGCTGAGGGCCTGACATCCACGACTGCCATGTCCTTATCACCCTCGCCTTCTAGTGGCCTGGTGAGAGGGCACAGTCCAGGGACTGTGAAGACGCAGACGACAGGGGAGTGACTTATCTGAGTCTCATTCCCCATCTCCACCACCACCGACATTCCCAGATCGTTGATTTCAAAAAGGAGCATCCCAGCGTCTTTGCCACAACGGTGCGATCAAAGCCTCTGTTTCATGTCCTACGGTGTTTTTCAGAAGCTTTTGGTAAGATCTGCAGGTACTTTCTCTTAGGGAAAGGAAACAGAAACTTTCACCAAGGAGCACTGAAGGACTACACAAAACTGAACCGTGTAGGAGAGACCGAGTGTGCCGAGAATGGCTCAAGCCAGAGTCTGTCTTCAACATGTCTCCAGTAACAGTTCTTAATAGGCAGGTGCTTTATCAATCTCATATTTCTTTCCTCTCACGCCCCAGGTCTATTCACTACCCCCCACCCCCGTGTCCCTAATGCTCTCCTGGAATCCCCCAGGGTGGTGCCCACCACAGGCGGCCAGAAGCAGCCCCACGCCGGGCCCTTCAATTCCTGCCATCGATCCAGCTGCGTGCGCGATGCTTAAATGCTGCCAGGTCAAGCTGAAGAGCAGGACTTGAGAATTCAGTGCTAATTACTGTGATTACAATCTGTGTCCCAAGCAGCCAAAGCCTCTGGGAAGAGTCTACAGGCGACCTGTCTACGAATCAAAAATCTCAGTTTGAGAGACGCAGAATCTATGCAAGCTGACTTTCCAGCTCGTTAAGTCATAATATGAACGTCACGTTGGCAATGATACCCTCTCTGGACGCAGATGAACTCAGGCAAGTCCAGCACGGAGAATGTACGAGACAGACCGAAAGGGAAATGATCAAACAGAACCCCCGCAGCCGCAAAAATATCTCACGCCAGAGCCCTGCGACGTGATGCTCAGATGGGGATTTTCTTGCGATGGCTAGAGACCCTCCTCATCCTAGCTAAGTGGGTGCTTAAGGAAAGGCGCTTACAGACCTCGTTCTCTGCCAAGCACAGGGAGAACCTGTCATGGGAATCTTGAACCTCTTAGTATACATGCTAATTGTGTATTTACCACTGAGCTCTCAAAGGCGGACTCACCAGAGGCAGAGAAAATGATCTCGTAAATATACCTGATATGCCACGAAAGAATCATGAAAGAAAACTTGACGGTAGAGAATGCTAAGACGGAGTTCTGTTGTCCTGGGCACATACACATTTCTGTAAGAAAATGGAATAATCTGAAACGAAGGAATTATCTGGAATCGAGGAGTAAGACATCTGTGTGCTGGCTGGGAGGCAGCTAGCTTTGCTCTGGAGTGCGAGGCTCCTTTTCCTTTCCTCCAGACTGGGCAGATACGCTTGTCCTTGGCCGGCTTTATACCAACACGGTTCTCCCCGGGGCAGAAATATTAGGGTGGACTTCATAGCCCCAAGTCACCATATAGAATTTGAAAGGGATTTCTATACCACTGTGATATATCAGCGCTAGGTTTTCATGTGAGGCCAACAAACTGAGGGGGATTTTGCAGCTGAATTCTCACAAGGAACCTTCCAAAGTTGGTGGGTGTCACACCGGTGTGGTGCGTGCCCATAACGGAGATCCCGAGGGACACAGGTTGATGTGTTCCTCTGCCTGTGAGCAGAACTGGCCCTGTCATCAGCCAGCCCGTGCTGGATACCAGAGTCCTCTACGAAATCTGACTTGAAATATTTTCCTTTTCTCCACTCATTTCCTTTTTCTAAGTACTCAGTTCACAAGGTGTGTCCAAGTGTATTTACTGAAAAATGCAATCCCAGGGACGGTAGGTGCCATGGTGGTTAAGGTGCTGGACTCCCACATGGCCGACTGTGGTTCGGGTCCTGGACCTGGCGGCTTGCCTTCTTACTCTCCCTCTCTCTGGTCAGGGTTTCAGTATGAATCTATTCTACAAACTTCTATTTGATGAATATTTCAGCTCATGCTTCGGTAAATATTCAACTTAAACTAAATTTTAAAAATTAAAGGAATCCTGTTTTAAGACTTTGGTAATTTCAGAGAGCAGTTCTCTCTCTCTTTTTTTTTTAAAGAATTACTTATTTTATTTTATTTATTATTATTATTTAATTTGCTATAAGGCATATGCACTCATGAGAGAGAGAGAGAAAGTGAGAAAGCAAGCCACCACATCCATGCCTTGAACCATGGTCAGCCAGGTAGAAGTCTAGCACCTTAACCACTATGCCACCTGCTGGCCCCAGTCATCCTCTTTTTAAAATTATTTTATTTATTCCTTTATTTATTTTAATTTGACCAGAGAGGAACACACACACATAGAGGGACAGTGAGAAAGCAAGCCACCAGGTTCAGGACTCAAACTGTGGTCAGCTATGTGGGAGTGTCCAGCGCCTTCACCACCACACCACCTGCTGGCCCCAGTCATCCTCTTTTTAAGAATTAAATAGAATCACAGTGTTAACCTGGCAAAACAAGCCAGACCTGCCTTTTTTTAATGCCACTGATTTATATCCCTCGACTTTTTAAATCCTTGTGACAAGTGTGAATGGCAGGAGAGTCACAGCTGAGTGTCCGTCCACCAGAGAATGCCATGCAGTGCCGTGACAGATGCACCAATCCGTCGCCGGCCTCCTCCCAGGTGCCCGCCCCCCTCTCCTCCTCTTCCTTCCTTTCACAGGGATTTACTGTGCTCTGTGCCTGGCTCCCCTGCCACTCATAAACTGAGAAATCTAATTAAGTCAAACTTTTAAATACCAAGGCTTGGGTTGTTTTGGTTTTGATTTTTTTCCTACATGTATGAGAACTCAACAAGTTCTCTTGAATCTCTGGGTCTGTTTGGTTTAGTTTTTTAGGTTTTTGCCATCGGGCATGTGTACTCTCCAGAGAGAGACAGAGAGGGAAAGAGTGAGAAGTCAATCCCCCAGGAGGGATGGCAAGAGAGAAATCACATATTCCCCCCTAGCCCACCCCACTGGGGGCGGATGGCCACACGGCACTCCCTTCTCCTCCACTCTCCTTTCAGGATTTTGGGCATGCAGACGTGTACCTGGCATGATTCCTAAATGGCCAGGTCTAGGACGCCGACAGTGTTCAGCCGTGTGGGAGTCCAGAGTCCTAACCCCTTTGCCCATTTACTTTTCCTGATGCTGACATGGGCTTATCAGCCTCTTGTACAGGGCCTCACGGGTGGCTGCGCTCAGCGTTGGTGACTGACTTAGCGACTTCCTACCTGATGAATTGTAGGAAGCTACCAACTCATCATCGGGGAAAAGTCCCCTTTCTTTTTGGCCAAGAAACCCTTATATTGGTTCCATTTCTCAAATTCTTAGAGTAACTGTCTGCCCTATACTGTGCCATAGCCGCGATCTGCCTCCTGCAGGCGGAAACGTGGCTTACTCTACCCGACAGCAAAACATAAAATTCACCAACCGTAGCTCTGATCAATATAAATAAGTATAAGTAATATTATCCCCGAAATCACTTCAATCAATTTTATACAATTAAATTGTTCCTTCAAGGAGCCTTAATTCACTCCATTCTTGATTGGGTTGTTACATGAATTATGAGGACTCACTATTAAGATAAAGAGGACTATTCCAATCAGGGAATACCCATGATGGTTTAATTAAAGAATTTTTGCATCTCACTTACAGAACATCGCTTGACATTTATTTAAAATGTCCCAGAGGCAATTAAGCCTTTGATTAACAGTAAGATTTTCTCCCTTAACTTCATTCTCAATTACCAAGGAAGCTCATTGCTCATTGCCTGGGACTTCCAGCACGTGGTGCCCGGTGGATTTAGCTCGCATGCAATGCCATGGAGACCAAGAGAGATCACCAGGAACCACAGTACGCAGAGGCCGGCCCTCGGTAAAAGCTCGGGCACTTGTTCGAGCTGCAGCCCACCTCCCTTGTCACCCTTAGCTCACAGCCGGGCCTCATTCATCTGTGCCGCGATGACTCGCTGGGTTAGGGGAGGAACGAGGGACTCAGAGATCGGGAGGCCACTTCTAACTCAGGGCTGAACTTTACTTGAGCTCAGAGAAGGGGGAAGGGTAGTGACTACAATCCATCTGCCCAAGTAACTCCTCTCATCTGTGCTGGGAGGAGATGCAAGGGGTCATAAAGCCCTAGCCTTGCTGGCTCTGAAAATTTCATCCACTTCCCTGGAAAGGAGGTGAGGGCTTGGAGAAGCACAGCAGTTAGGAGCAAGGACTCTAGAATCCAGCAGACCAGGAGCTGCTGCATCACATTTACCTCTTTAAACACCAGATTCTTACCGGGAGCTGCAAGTAATAATAATAGGGCTGGTGTGGGAAAGCGAACACACGTGAGAAAGCAGACACACGTGAGAAAGCGAATACACGTGAGAAAGCGAACACACGTGAGAAAGCGAACACACGTGAGAAAGCGAACACACGTGAGAAAGCGAACACACGTGAGAAAGCAGACACACGTGAGAAAGCGAACACACGTGAGAAAGCGAACACACGTGAGAAAGCGAACACACGTGAGAAAGCGAACACGTAGGAAGTCCAATCAGTAACGGCACCATTTATTAAGAAGATGCTCTCCCTCCTCTCTGTGACCCTCAGTGACCAGAAACAGTGTCACCTAGGACAGAAAGAGACAGTGGCGGGCACTCTGCCACATCTGGGAAACACAGCAGCCAAGGGGCCTAGAGAACCCACTTCCATGCGATGGAGCTGGCACTGCAGAAAATCCAGATAGGGTTATCACCACTCTCCAATATTCTTCAGAACTTTACAACTGAACAAGCTGAGCTTTAAAAAAAAAATTGTTTATTTTTTTTTAATTGTCAGAGGGTGTATGCACTCACCAAACAAAGAAGGAGAGAAATAGAAAGCGAGAGAATCTCCCAACGGAATGTGATCATGCTGGTTCTTTTCCCTCCATTTTTCTAGCCCACCAGGATTCTGCAAATGTGCACACACAGGCCCAGCATGTTTTCCAAGCTCCCAGAGCCAGGATTCGAACCAGGTTTACCATGTGGAACCTGGCTCCCTTAACTGCTGAGCGTCAGGGCAGCCCTAGGCAAGTTATATAGGAATTGTGGCTTATCTGTGAATTTTTATTTATTTATTTATTTATTTA